TAAAGTTAGAATTCCTTTGCCCGCAATAACCTGTGATAGTGAAGTACATTGAAGATGGCCTTTCACATGCTTACCTGTAAATACAGTCACACACTTTGAGAACCTTCCTGGACTTTGAGAACTTCTGGACCTTGCTTTCAGCATAGAGTGACCTATACCTCATCTGATCATATGGAAGATGGGGAAGAGCTTCAGGTCGATGCCTGGGCATGAGCACAGATGGCTTCTCTGATTCCCTTTTGCCTCCTTATTGCCGTGCAAAGCTTCCCATTAGAGGGCTGCACATTGTTTTTCTAGAAATGCTTATTAACTCTTGATCATAGACTGCGATTTTCTGATTGTCCCTTGAACTTAATGTCTCTAATTAGAATTTCAAGTCACGGAATATCTTGCAGGAACTATTTTTAGTGTCATGTGGAGTTCAGAAGATTATGAGGGAAGCAATTACAAATGCAGTAGCCTGAAGTATTTACGGGGTGGGGATCTGGCGCTGCAGTTAAGATCCCGTTTTGGGGGAGGTAGAGGAAGTTGCATGATGGTTCAACTGCCTAATTCTCCACCAGCAAGAGCTGGGATCTCATAAGAGCGCCAATTCATGCCCCAGCTGCTCCACGTCCATCCAGCTCCTTGCTTACGGGAAGCAGTGGAGAATGACCTAAAGCTTGGCCCCCGACACCCACATGAGAGACTCATAAGAAGCTCCTGGCTCCTGGCTTTGGATTGTCTCAGCTCCAGCCATTGTGGCCATTTGGAGAGTGAACCAGCAGATGGAAGACCTTTCTCGCTATTTCTCCTTTTCTCTGTAAATCTACCTTTCTAATAATACATACATACATACATAAACATTTTTAAAGACTCAAGATGTTTCCTCCCCCTTCTTTCCTTCCTCCCTCCTTTCCTCTTTCTTTTTAAAATATTTATTTATTTTTATTGCAAATTTTTATTACAGAGAGGAGGAGAGACAGAGAGGAAGATCTTCTGTCCAGTGATTCACTCCCCAGAGGATCACAATGCTGGAGCTGTGCCAATCCAAAGCCAGGAACCAGGAGCTTCTTCCTGGTTTTCACGCAGGAGCAGGGTCCCAAGGCTTTGGGTTGTCCTCAGTTGCTTTCCCAGGCCACAAGCAGGGGGCTGGATGGGAAACGGGGTTGCCAGGATTAGAACCAGTGCCCATATGTGCAAGACTTTAGACACTATGCTACTGCACCGGTGCCACCTTCCATTTCTTGAGTGGTTAGGTTTGTGCACTTCTGATTCCAGCTTGCTGCTAACAATACTCACCTTGGCACCAGCCGGTGATGGGTCAAGTAGCTGGGTCCTTGTCCTTCCATGGAGCTCCTGATTGAGTTCCTGGATCCTGACTTTAGCCTGACCCAGCCCTGGCTATTGAGGGCATTTGGAGAGTGAACCAGTAGGTAGGAGATGCCTAACTCTGTTTCTTTGTCTCGCTGTGTCTCTTTGCCTTTTGAATAAAATAAAACAAGAACAACAAAATACATAAAAATTTAAAAAGCGTTTTAAAAAAAAAAGCCTTTCTCCATTCTCTTTTGGAAGGAGATTGGCTGCATTACAATAGATGGAAATGGCACTGTGTTTTTCTCACTTCTCCTTTGGTTTGGACCACAGGCTCCGTTCTGATTTAAGAGTCTTTCCTGCTCAGTATTTCAGTGATAATTCTCCCCATGGTCTATAGGATCCCTGTTCTCTTTGTTTCCATAGCAACAGTCCTGTGTTGCTTGGCTAGAAGCAATTTTCTGCTGCTGTGGTGAAGCCCCATTTTTTCATTCCTTTCTTCCCAGTTGCCTTGGTAACCAGTCTCTTCCTCTTCTGGTCTCCCAGTGGTAAATTCCAACTTCTCCCCCCTCCCCAACTCCTTTTTTCCTCCCTGTCTGTAACAGTCACCTGCTCACGACTTGGACAGGGCTATCCCATCTGTGAGTGAGCCCACTCTGTCATAGTCAGATTGTCATCATGAAATCAACCCCCCCTCCCTTGCTTTATTTGCATCCTGTCTCTGCTCTGCCATCTTTCTAGTGGTTGTCATGGCAACTGTACCCTCTGAAAGTCTCCAGGCAAAGACTCTACAGCTAACAACCATCATGTGAATGCATCTGCCAATATGCAGCCACACATCTCCGTTTTAAACCTGGTCCCAGGCGGGTACTGCAAATGGGAGAGAACAGGGCATTTGATCAAAGGAGGCTGCATTGAGAAGCAGATACAAGGGACCAAGAACTGGGGTCTGGTGTTCTCCCAACAGGGGCCACTATCCCAGTGACAATTCAGGTGGCTGAAAAGATGTATTCATACTGGCAGTGATTCCCAGTATGCCCATCTAGAGACCCTCGTCTGACCCGAGAACTACACACAGCCAACCTCAGGAAGAAAGCAATTAGAACTCTTCAATTGACTAACAGGGAGTTAGCTCAATAGATACTTAAGCACTTTTACACATCACTGAAAATTTCTCTGCCCTTAGGCTATTGCTCTTACCTCTTCACCAAGGCAGACGGGATGCCACCATTATAATAAAACAAAGTATTCAACAAATGCTGGTGTGTGCATGTCAGGGCGTTGTGCGTGTCAGGCAGGCAGTTTTCACACCGCACTTCATTTTTTCTTTATAGCAGTCTGGGAGATAGTTTTAAAGATAAGAACTCCTGTGGTGGCATTGTGGCTTAGGGGCATCAATTCTGGCCCTGGCTGCTCTACTTCAGATTGCAGGGATCCAGCTCCTTGCTGATGTGTCTGCGATAGCAGCGGGCAATGGCCCAGGTGCTTGGGTCCCTAAACCCAGAAGAAAGTCCTGGCTGTTGGCTTTGGCCTGGCCCAGCCCTAGCTGTGTGGCCATGCGGAGGAGGTGAGCCAAAGAATGGAACCATCTCTCTCTCTTTTAAAATATTTTTTAAAAGATTAATTTTAAAGATTAATTTTATTTTTATTGGAAAGACAGATATACAGAAAGGAAGCGACACAAAGAGGAAGATGTTCCTTTTGTTGATTCACTCCCCAAGCGGCCACAATGACTGGTACTGTGCCGATTTGAAGCCAGGAGCCTGGAGCCTCTTCTGGGTCTCCCGCATGAGTGCAGGGTCCCAAGGCTTCGGACCATCCTTGACTGCCTTCCCAGGCTACAAGCAGGGAACTGGATGGGAAGCAGGGCTGCTGGGACACAAACCAGCGCCCATATGGGATCCTCACATGTGCAAGGCAAGGACTTTAGCCGCTAGGCTATGGCGCTGGGCCCAACCCTTCTCTTTCTCTGTGTCTCTCCCTCTCTCACTATAATTCTGTTTTTTAAATTAATACATAGATCTTAGGGAAAAAAAGCACTCTGAGGTTGGGGCAGAGGTTGTTGTGCTGCAAATTAGGCATCTCATGTTGGTGCATCCCAGAGACATTGCTTTTCATCCAGTTTCCTGCTAATTCCTCCTGGGATGCAGCAACGGATGTGCCCGAGTTCCTGTCACCCATGTGGGAGTCCAGGGACACTGGCTTTAGTCTGGCCCACACCTGGTCATTGTGAGCATTTGGGGAGTGAACAGTGGCATGAAAAACTCTGTTTTTCTCTTTCTGTCACTCCACCTCTCAAGTTGATGAAAAAAGTACACATTACAAACAGGAGCTCTGAGGCTGAGGTGCTGTTAACGGAAGTGACCCAGCTGGTAAGTCTCAGAGCTAAACTCTGAACCCAGATGCATTTGATTATGAAGACTTACTCTGTTTTCTTCCTTTTGGTTCATTAATTTCTTTTTACTTCTTTTTAAAAAAGATTTATTTATTTATTTATTTTTTAAAGATTTATTTATTTTTTATTACAAAGTCAGATATACAGAGAGGAGGAGAGACAGAGAGGAAGATCTTCTGTCTGATGATTCACTCCCCAAGTGAGCGCATTGGCCGGTGCTGCGCCGATCTGAAGCCGGGAACCAGGAACCTCTTCCAGGTCTCCCATGTGGGTGCAGGGTCCCAAAGCTTTGGGCCATCCTCGACTACTTTCCCCTCGACTATTTTCCCAGGCCACAGGCAGGGAGCCTGATGGGAAATGGAGCTGCCGGGATTAGAACTGGCGCCCATATGGGATCCTGGCGCGTTCAAGATGAGGACTTTAGCCGCTAGGCCACGCCGCCGGGCCCCAATTTCTTTTTCCTTCTCACAACACTTTCTTATTTGAAATGCAGAGCTAGACAGGAGAGAAAGAGAAAGAGTTCTTCCCTCCTGTGGTTCACTCCCTAAATGGTTATAACGGTCCATGCTGGATCAGGCAGAAACCAGGAGCTAGGAACTGCATCCCAGGTCCTAATGCCATGGTCAGTGCCTAAACACTTGGGTCATCTGCAGCTCACATGGGACTCAAATGGGCTCTCAGATATGGGATGTTAGTACCACAAACAACGGCGGGACCTAACACACTACAATGCTAGTCCCACAAAACCCGAGTCGCCTGAGCTTCAGTGTTCTCTGGTTCTAGGCCGACTGCACCGCGGAGTGAAAACTCAGCAGAGCTGAATGCCACACCCCAAACTCCTTGGCTCCAGGAGTGATAGGGAAGCCATTTTAAACATTCTAATTATATGGGTTTTTAGTCGGTACCAGGTACTGTGCTAAGCATTGGAAATAGAGTTATGATCTAGGGAAGAACTGACCTTTGCATTTATGGAACTAACAGCCCAGAGTAGAAGTTAGACCATCAACAAGAGGCTAATACATAATTTTGCATTGTAATTGGTGCTATGAAGAAAAATAGTTGGATACTGTGAAAGAACGAGTAGGAACAGATCTATTTTAGTTGGGGTTGTCATTCCCCTTTCCAGGCAGCAGGGAGTCGAGGTTCTGGCACTAGATCGTGAATAGCGGGGCAATGCGGAGCCTCCTAAGCCGCCAAGGACTTGCTGCTGTTGGCCGCCAGCCTCCTTTTGCACTTTAGTCCCCGCCCCTCCCGGGCTCCACCTCTACGCTTACGCACCGGGGTTGCCATGGGGACAGCTGCTCCTGCGCAAGCGCAGAGGCCTTCAAGATGGCAGCGGCTACGGCTGCACGAGCGCTGCCCAGGGGCCCAGGGCTCCGCGGCCTGCCACGAAGTTTGCCTCTGGTGGTGATTCTCGGGGCAACTGGCACTGGCAAATCGACCCTGGCGTTGCAGCTAGGCCAGCGGCTCGGGGGCGAGATCGTCAGCGCCGACTCCATGCAGGTATGGCGATGCTGCTGGCCTCAGGCCTGGGGAGCCCCGGGGCCGCGCGCAGGCCTCTGGTCGGTGGCCTCCCTGTCCTCCCTGTCGCGTGGCGGTCGTGAGTGATCTGAGAAGCCTGTGGGGGTCAGAGAGGGTAGGGGAGCGAACCTGTACCCAGCTCGGCGTCTTTATCATCTCACGAACTTCTCCTGACTTTACTGTTTGGGAGCCACTGTGAGTCTGTCCACTTATAAATGGAGGGACATTGGGGCCTTAGGGAGGTGGAGTGACATATAGGCACCCAGTAGGTAACTTCTGAATGACAGTGATTCCAGAGGTTTGCTGTATGTGGTCATTCTTCTAACCCAGACAGGCCAGGATGAATTGGATATTACATTTAAGTGTCTCGTGGGGGGAATAATGTTCCAAGGTGGACAGTCAGGAGACCCGGAGTCCAATCTGGAATCTGCCCCGACCACGTGCTTTAGATGAATCATGTCGTCTGGACGTTGTTGTGTCTATTTACCGAGTGGGGAAAATCCCTATTGTGGGGGTGTGATATTTAATAAGTGAGATCACAGATGTTGGAATGGAAAGTGGGGTGGCCAGTTGCCGACATAAATGCTTGCTGAAGTGGACTTTTTTTGAACTTTGACTGCTGTGAGTTAAGAGGCCTTTGTCCTCTTCTTTGAGCTGAAGGCCCAGAAGGGGTATAGTACTCCTGACATTTGGGAATGTTTGTGCAAGTGAGTGACATTTGGGTAAATTTCTGATGAAGGAACTGCAAAAGCTGTGTGTTGAGAATTACAGTTCCCAAACGACATAAATGAAATGTTAGATGTAAATTGCCCTGCGCTAAGGCCAGCTGGCACCTGTTGGGGTGTCGGCAGCAAAAGGGGCAGACTTGTCCCACACTACCTCACACTACCCCGGGGCCCGCAGGCAGTTTCTGCCCTCAGTAGTTGATTTGAAGGGGATTAGAGCATCTGCCTACGTCAGTTGAAAGGCAGAGTTCCTAGAAAGGGACAGAAGGATCTTCCAATTGCTCGTTCACTCCCCCATGGCTGCATCATTGGTTTGTAGCTGTAGCTGAGCCAATCCAAAGCCAGGAGCCAGGAGCCTCATGAGTGCAGGCTCAAGGAATTGGGCTGTCTTCTGTTGCTTTGCCAGGTACGTTAGTAAGGAGCTGGATCAGTAGTAGAGCTGGTAGTCCTGGCATGATGGCTCAGTGGCTAAATCCTCACCTTGTGTGTGCCAGGATCCCATATGGATGCCAGATCATGTCCTGATGGTCACTTGGGGAGTCAATCAGAGGACGAAGACCTTTCTGTATTTCCTTCTCCTGTAAATATGCCTTTCCAATAAAAATAAACAAATCTTTAAAAAGAGAAAGAATATTGGGCCCAGCACAGTGGTCTAGCGGCTAAAGTCCTCAGCTTGAACGCTCCAGGAACCCATATGGGGACCGGTTCTTATCCTGGCAGCTCCACTTCCCATCCAGCTCCCTGCTTGTGTTCTGGGAAAGCAGTTGAGGACAGACCAAGGCCTTGGGACCCTGCACGCGTGTGGGAGACCTGGAGGAAGTTCCAGGCTCCTGGCTTCGGATTAGCACGGCCAACGTTGGCTGTTGCGGTCACTTGGGGAGTGAATCATTGAATGGAGGATCTTCCTCTTTGTCTCTCCTCCTCTCTGTATATCTGACTTTGCAATTAAAAAAAAAAATAAATCTTAAAAAAAAAAAATAAAAAGAGAAAGAATATAAAGTGGAACTGCCAGAGCTCCAAGCAGCACCCTTATGAGATCCTGGTCCCGAGGCAGAGGCTTAACTTACTTTGTCTTGGAGCTGGCCCCACAGTTAAATATTTTCTGAGATAAGGACTTCAGCCTGACATCCTCTTGCCTTTGTTTCAAGTAGGAAGAGTATCAGCCACACCAGCTTCCTGTAGTGACTGAGTGAGGTAAAGTGTGTGAAGGTCTCTCTGTGGTAGCTGCTGTTTTCTATAAGGCCTCTTGGAAGAGTCAGAGTCAGAAGCCCTCTCCTCCAGGTGTGGTGCTGCTGACCTGGAAATGAGGCGGAGCTAGAGGTAACGCAGGGGACAGATAGTAATGGTGTTTTTTGTTTTTGTTTTTAATTTTTATTTTATTTTTATTGAAAGTCAGATATACAAAGACGAAGACAGAAAGAGAGGAAGATCTTCCATGTGATTCACCCCCGTAACAGTCAATCCAAAGCCAGGAGCCCGGAGCTTCTTCCAGGTCTCCCGTGTGGGTGTAGGGTTCCAAGGCTTTGGGCTGTCCTTTACTGTTTTCCCAGGCCACAGGCAGGGAGCTGAATGGGAAGCAGGGGCTTCTGGGACATGAACTGGTGCCCATATGGGATTCTGACACGTGCAAGGCAAGGACTTTAGTCACTAGGCTATGGTGCTGGGCCTGTACTGATGTTTTCAAGGCAGCTTGGATTAGGCAGGGTTGGGAGAGGCAAGACTACTGGCGCTAGATTTTATAAACTATGAAGTTTTATAGAATTTCTGAAGTGGAGACATCAATGTAGTTTGGTTAGTTGGGGGAAAGCTCTCTGTAAAAAGACTTGGAAACTAGATTGGTTTTGGATAGGTAAGATGAAAAAAAGGTCTGTCAAGATAGAAGGAACATGAATGCAGGTTTAAAAGGGGAAACAGGCATAGTGTGAATATAGGACAGCAAAAGGAGAGTGTTCAGGAGGGAGGTGTTGTAGGTGTTGTGGAAGAGTGATGAAGGCGTTCTGTCCAGAGCAATCCTTTGAGAGAAATGGGCATGATGGGTTGGACTGAGAATGGGTGGGAGGAGCATTTTAAAAATCCAGACACACCTGGTACTTCAACTGGAGTCCAGTGTCCCTCAGTGAGATGTAGTTACTTTGAGGGTATCCAAAATTGTCTTGTATTTCTGGTTGGTGTGGTGGTAGTAGGGATGGAAACCTGGAGAAAGATGTAGTATTTTGGCAGGTAGCATCATGTGGAACTATAATTTGGTTACTGGATTGGGAAATGAGAGTTTAAGTATACAGTGTGAGTCTGTATTCAAGTGCCTGGAGAGTATGGTGAACCCGGAAGTCAGGGAGACCCTGCTTGGCACGGTGGGAGTGAGACCTTGCTTGGCACGGTGGGAGTGGCAAAAGGACATGCAAGAAGTTCACACGTTGGGGGTGTGGGGAGTGCTGTAACAGGAACCCCCTCCTGGACCTGGGCACTTGCTCCTTTGGCCTGGTAGAGTCTTCCTCTCTGATACTGCGTAACCTGCTTGCATGTTCCCTTTCTTTGCTTGGGTCTTTCTTTCTTTCTTTCTTTCTTTCTTTCTTTCTTTCTTTCTTTCTTTCTTTCTTTCTTTCTTTCTTTCTTTCTTTCTTTCTTTTTGTTTTTTTTTTAAAGAATTGAGTCCTTTTATTCCATTTAAAAGTATTCTAACTTTAAAATAATTTATTTTTTTTTTTTTAAAGATTTATTTTTATTATTTTTTCATTGGAAAGGCGGATATACAGAGAGGAGAGACAGAGAGGAAGAGCTTCCGTCCGATGATTCACTCCCCAAGTGAGCGCAACGGGCCGATACTATGCCGATCCGAAGCCAGGAGCCAGGAGCCTCTTCCGGGTCTCCCACGCGGGTGCAGGTTCCCAAAGCTTTGGGCCGTCCTCAACTGCTTTCCCAGGCCACAGGCAGGGAGCTGGAAGGGAAGCGGGGCTGCCGGGATTAGAACCGGCGCCCATATGGGATCCCGGGCGTGCAAGGTGAGGACCTTTAACCACTTGTGCCACCGCGCCGGGCCCTAAAATAATTTATTTTTAATATTGAAAATTTAATAGTTGAGTGTGATACATGCCCATGTGAGCTTCTGATTAGGGTGGGGAGGACCAGGTATGGAGGAAGGTGGGTGGGACATATGTTTCAGTCCTTTTTTTCCCCCTCCTGTGTCTGCAGGGGAGGAGGGGGAGAGAGCCATTCCTTGCTGTCAGATTGCATCAGCACCCAGGGGTGGGCGATGTTCACGGATAACATCCTAGAGACCCCGAAGTGGGGAAGAGTGTTCCAAGGCTGTTTCTTGAATGGTTTCGATAGTTAGGAGAAGTTGTTGGTTTTGTTGCTACAAGGTTGGGAGAGAAATTAGACAAAGAGCTCCTACCTGTAACTTCAGTTCCCAAGTGCTTGTCCGTGGCTGGGGCTATTATGCCTGGGCCAGGCAGATGGGAGATGGGAATCAGCAGCTCAGTCACCTGTCTCGGATGGGGGTGGTGGAGGGAGGGCAAGCTGTTCCTGCTTGCAGTGGTTGCTGCCGCCTCCTGGAGTCTGCATTAGCAGGAAGCTGGAGTCAGGATCTGTAGGTGGGTATCACATGTGGGTACTCTGTGTGGGCTCTGAGCATGAGCTCATAACTGCCATGCCCATTCCCAGATCTTTGTGTAAGTTCTCATTATTGGGACCTTTTTCTGACTTCACACGCATCACCAATAGGCCCTGTCCAGAAAGTGTTCTCAACAACTTCATTTTGTTCATTTCTCAAACAATCTTCAGTAAACAAGTAAGTTAGTGGGTTCTGCGATGAGGCTTGTGTATAGCTCTGTAATAGTCACTCCATTCTCAGAACTACTTCCTGGGGTTACTGTTGAGGCCTGTGACATCCGCATCCCATAGGAGCACTAGTTTGGGTCCTGGTCATTCCATTTGTGATCCAGCTTCCTGCTAGTGGCCTGGGAAGGCATCAGAGGATGGCTTAAGTCCTTGGGCTTCTGCACCCAAGTGACAGACCTGGAGGGAGCTCCTGGCCTCGGGCCAGCCCAGTTTTGGCTGCTGTGGCTTTTGGGAGAGTAAAAAGCAGATGAAAGATATTTCTTTTTGTTTTTCCTTCTCTCTCTGCCACCATGCCTTTCAAATAAAAATAGGTAAATCTTTAAAATTTTATTTGGAATGCAGGGTGACTGATATAGGGAGAGAAAAATCTTCCAGCTGGTTCAGTCATATGACATATACCAGTTTCACCGGTGGCAGGTT